GAGACCATCCTGGCTAACACGCACAAACCCCGTCGTCTACTCAAAAAAATACAAAAAACTGAGCGGCGATTCCTCTGTTAACTCATTTAATCACACAGTGACCCCTGGAGCAGGTAGAATGAATAGCCCTCATTTATAGATAAAGAAACTGAGGTCCAATAAATTGAGGCCGCTCACCCACGGTACCCACCTAGTATATAGAGACAGAATTCAAACTCTGGCTCTAGCACTTGTGCTTTCTGCTACACCAGCTCAAGGAAGTTTGAAGACCTACAGAAGGGCTGATTTTAGAAGGTTAATCAAAAACCCAGGGACAGTTTCATCATGTCATAACCAGAGACCCTTGTGGCACCTGCTGTCATGGGATAACAAATATCCTGTGGGGTTCTGAATGTGGACTTACTACTGAAGCTCCTGTCTGCTTGGTCAGTGGAGGTCTAGACTAACTTCTGGTCCTGAGTTTCTAAAGTGTTGGTAGACCGGTTGAGATAAAAGAGATATAATAATGAATGCCTTACCTATCTGAAAACCAGTTTGATCCGTGCCAAGTGGCTTTTTGTGGGCTCTGTAGAGTGCCCTAAACCCAGCTCTGCCTTTGCTGTGTTAGACAGAAGCACGTCATTCACATCTCTGGGGCCCCCGATGGTGCCATGGTGTGGCTGTGGTCTGCTCACCGGCTGTTCTGTTTTTTGTTTTTGTTTTTCCTGCCTTTTTCCAATCCTCACACCTTCTGAGCTACAGCCCCAGTAGGGTCTAAATGTCCTAGAGCTATATGAGATTTAGGTTTCTGAGCACAGCCAATTCTTCCGCTTTTGAGGCTTCCCTTCCCCTTTCACTCGCCCCTCTCTGGTTCTCTGCCACCAGTCCAGAAGAACTGAATGTCGTGCTGGGGACCAACGACTTAACTAGCTCATCCATGGAAATAAAGGAGGTCGCCAGCATCATTCTTCACAAGGACTTTAAGAGAGCCAACATGGACAATGACATTGCCTTGCTGCTGCTGGCCTCGCCCATCACACTCGATGACCTGAAGGTGCCCATCTGCCTCCCTACGCAGCACGGCCCCGCCACATGGCGCGAATGCTGGGTGGCAGGTTGGGGCCAGACCAATGCTGGTATGTGACTGCTCACCTTCCCCTGGGGAAAGAGCCACTGCAATCTGAAGGAGAGGGGAGGAAGGGGGAAGGGGAAGAGCTGAGAAAGGAATGAGGACAAGACTTGCTTTGGAGCAGATTCCTGCGTAGTGGAGGCTCACAGAGCCCAAGCCTTAGCTCCTTTTGAGTGCTGAAACCCCAAACTGAGACACCAGGTCTGAGCCAGTCTGATCCAGCCAGCACAGAGCTGTGTGGTTTGTGTGTTTAATCGAATTTAAACTCTGCAGTTAGCCAGAGGCCCCTCTACTCTGTATTCATAAACATCTTCCCTGATTCCCACGGGTGTGTTTCCTACCTGGCTCCTCCAAGCATTGGAGATGCCCACCCTGGGCTAGGCTTTGATAGTCCTGGAGCATTGCCTGGCTCTTCTTAGAAATGAATCTGTTGTTACTTGTTGTTATGCTGTTACTTGGCCAAAACAGAAGAAAGTCTACTGGGACAGAAAGATATGATGAAGGGCCTGCTGGACTGTCCCCAAAGAAAACCCAACAAAACCAAAAGCAAATAGATAGGGGAGGGGAGGGGATGAGAACAGCAAAGCATTGCGTCAGCCTGAACGAGGCTCTGGATCCACAGGGATGATTCGCAGCGAGCCTGGGCCTGGACGGCCGTAGGTGTTTCAGGAGTTGAGCAACCAGAGGGAAAGTGGTGGGACCTTAGTTCTGGGCTCCAGGCACTCCTGGAAAGGTAGAAGAGGGAGAGGAGGCACGTGGGCACGTACAAGTTTAAAAGTCTTCAATCAGGGGAAGAAATGTGAAATCTCTTTGTGGTCAGAGTTAATGAGATGGAGAGGAATCTGGCTGAATTTCCAGCATCTGGTGGCCCAGAAAGAGCCTCTGCAAATCCCCTCTAATCCCATCTCAAGACACTCTGCCAACCTGCCCTTGCTGAGGAACTAAAGTTGTTTCACTGGGAGTGCAAACCCACCTCCCAAGGCCCTGTGTGAAGGAAATGCCATCCTCATGTAATAACATGTCACAATAGGCAAATGTATTGATGAGGAAGGATTATGCTGAGAAACAGTCAGTAGCCAGTTCCAAGAAGCTGAGTCTGTGGGGATGACTGGAGTCAAGTTGGAAGTCTTCTTGGGAGTAGAAATTTGGTGTTGAATGAGAAGAAGAATTCCAGTAGTTGCAGGCATGGGGTAACCTGAAGGAAGTGAGGGGCTACAGAGCCTGTGAAGGCAGGGGGTGGGAGCTGGTGGACACAGGGCCGAGGGCACGGTCAGCTGCATCATGAGCGTGGGGATATGAGGCCTGGTGGCTTCTCTAATGTGCTTTCTCTCCGGGCCAGCTGACAAAAACTCTGTGAAAACGGATCTGATGAAAGCGCCGATGGTCATCATGGACTGGGAGGAGTGTTCAAAGGTGTTTCCAAAGCTCACCAAAAATATGCTGTGTGCCGGATACAATAATGAGAGCTATGATGCCTGCCAGGTAACTAGGGGGTACCCTCCCTCACATAAGAGGTCCTCACCCTCTCGGAACTGCCAGTGCAAGGATATTCTCTCTCTGCTGCAAACAGACAATTCTGAGTCTGGAAAGTGTATGGGAATTAGGGCCTTCAGCCATGGGAATGAGGATGTGGATGGCAGAACCTCTGGAGCTATGAGTGAGCACACCTGGGAGTCAATATGCTGCAACCCTGCTTAACTATTTCTGATCTTCATCAGGTACACTAGGGAAACAGGGTGCCAAGGCTTTTCTCATTTCTGGGAATTCTTTAAAAAAAAAAAAAAAATCCAAGGAGGACTTGGTATCTATATAAGAAGTCATTTTAATTCATTAATTTGGAAACCTTTGTTGAGCATACAAGGCCCTGGAGACCCATAAATGAGATATGGTTCCTCACCTAAGGGACCCTACGGTTTCCTGGACAGGCAGTGGATAAACAAACGATGATAATATATTGGGTGTTGCATGTAGGTTTCATTGAACCAAAACTGGTCTCTTTGCCTCTCTTTAATAAAATGAACACAAGTTCTTCTTTAAAAATTATTGATAGCCAGAAAAATAGAAAAAAAAAAAACACCCATAAATTAGCTTCCTCTGGCTCTAAGGATGAATGAGGAAATTTGTCTTTCGTGCTCAAAGGTGCTCTCTTCATCTTAAAAGTGGCCACCCTGATGAACCTGCTTAGTCCCAGCTGAAGACTAGAGACCTGCTCATTGGCCAGGCAGTGGACCTGGTCATTGGTATAAAACCACAAATGCAGATGATAAATATTCTGAACAGTGATGGAGAGGCTGCCCCATGGAAAATAAATATATTTATCTAGAATAATCTGTTATGGTTTAATGTGAGAAAATTGGTAGTTTTTCCTGATAGGCTATGAGAGCCTTGAGAGGTGGGTACTGGAACAGGAGTTAGAGGCAGAAAGGGAAAAGAGAAAGGAGAAGGCATTCTGAAGTAAGAAGTAGACCCTGGCAGCATAGCACTAGGTTTAGGAGCCCCCCATGTGGTGAAAACTGTGGGGACCAAAAAGAGTGACACATGAACCTTGTATTTTCTTCACTTTCTGGGCAATTTAAAATATTGCCAAAAAACAAACAACAATGCACACAGAATTGAGACTTCTGGTTCCAGACAAGACGGAGTAAACACAATTCTCCCAGCCCCTCCCACTAAATACAACTAAAAGCACGGGATAGTATCTTGTAAAATAGAAACAAAAAGGCTCTGAAAGGTGAGGAGAAGATGGTCTGACTGGAGATCCTCGGGTATTTCTTTATAGCAATGCAAGAATGCATTACACACAGCATGACCAGAAAACACTAATTGTCCTCCCTGATTAGAATTTGTTATAATACTGTACTTATTCTACTCACCTCTCAAGGATCATGGAATGGGACATCATCTCTCATTGAAGTCTGCTTGCAAGGTTGTAGTTGCTCAGCTCCTTTGGTGAGAGAGTAATATAACAAAGGTAGAGAGGGCATGGGCTTTGGCATCAGAAAATCCTGGGTTACACATACCTCAAAATAATAAGAGCCGTCTATGACAAACCCACAGCCAACATCATACTGAATGAGCAAAAGCTGGAAGCCTCCCTCTCAGGACCAGAACAAGACAAGGATGCCCTCCTTCACCACTCCGATTCAACATAGTCCTACAAGTCTTAGCCAGAGGAATCAGGCAAGAAAAAGAAATGAAAGGCATCCAAATAGGAAGAGAAGATGTCAAACTATCCCTCTTTGCAAATGATATGATTCCATACCTGAAAAACTCCATCGTCTCTGCTCAAAGTCTCCTAGAACTGATAAGCAGCTTCAGCAAAGTTTCAGGATACAAAATCAATGTACAAAAATTTGTGACATTTATATACACTAGATAACATACAAGCTGAAAGCCAAATCAAGAATGCAATTCCATTCACAATATCCACCAAAAGAATAAAATATCTAGGAAGACAGACAATCAGGGAGGTGAAAGATCTCTATGATGAGAATTACAAAACATTACTGAAAGAAATCTGAGACAACACAAACAAATCAAAGACATTCCATGCTCATGGATAGAAAGAATCAATATCATTAAAATTGCCATACTACCCAAAGCAATTTACAGATTCAATACGTTCCCTATCAAGCTACCAATGACATTCTTCACAGAATTAGAAAAAAACTATTTTAAAATTCATATGAAACCAGAAAAGAGCCCAAGTAGCCAAGGCAATCCTAAGCAAAAAGAACAAAGCTGGAGGCATCATGCTATCCAACTTCAAACTATATACAGGGCTATGGTAACCAAAACAGCATGGTACTGGTACCAAAACTGACACCTAGACCAATGGAATAGGTTAGAGAACCCAGAAATAAAGCTGTACACCTACAACCATCTGATCTTCATCAAAGTCAACAATAACAAGCAATGGGGAAAGCACTTCCTATTCAATAAATGGTTTTGGGATAACTAGCTAGCCATATGCAGAAGATTGAAACTGGACCCTTTCCTTTCACCATCAACTGAAATCAACTCAAGATGAATAAAAGACTTAAATATAGAACATAAAACTGTGAAAACACTAAAAGAAAGTCATTACGAAATACCATTCTTGATACAGGCCTTAGCAAAGATTTCATGAGGAAGTCTCCAAAAGCAATTGCAACAAAGTAAAACATTGGCCTAATTAAACTAAAGAGCATCTGCACAGCTAAAGAAACTGTTAACAGAGTAAACAGACAACCTACACAATGGGAGAAAATATTTGCAAACTATGTATCTGACAAAGGTCTAATATTCAGAATTTATAAGGAACTTAACTCAACAAGATTAAAAGATGGGCAGATGACATGAACAGACACGTCTCAAAAGAAGACATACATGCAGTCAACAAGCATATGAAAAAAATGCTCAATATCACTAATTATTAGAGAAATGCAAATCAAAGCCACGGTGAGATATCATCCCACACCAGTCAGAATAGCTGTTATTAAGGTCAGAAAATAACAGATGTTGGTGAGGTTGCAGAGAAAAGAGAAGGCTTCTACACTCCTGGTGAGAATGTAAATCATTAGTTCAGCCACTGTAAAAAAAGCCACTGTAAAAAGCAGTTTGTAGATTTCTCAGAGAACTTAAAACACAACTACCATTAAACCCAGCAATCTCAATACTGGTACATATCCAAAGGAATATAAATTATTTTACCACAAAGACACAGGTATGCGTATGTTCATCACAGCACTATTCACAGTAGCAAAGACATGGAATCAAACTAGATGTCCATCAATGGTGAACTGGATAAAGAAATTGTGGTACATATACACCGTGGAATACTACGCAGCCATAAAAAAGAACAAAATCATGTCCTTTGCAGCAAATTGGATGCAGCTAGAGGCCATTATCCTAAGTGAATTAATGCAGGAACAGAAAACCAAATATCGCATGTTCTCACTTATAAATTGGAACAAAATGTTGAATACGCATGGACACAAAGAGGGAAACAATAGACACCAGGGCCTACTTAAAGGTAGAAGGTATGAAGAGGGTAAGAAGCAAAAGCCTACCCATCAGATACTGTGCTTACTCCTGGGTAATTAAATCATTTGTACACCAAACTCCAGTGACATGCAATTTACTCACATAACAAATCTGCACATGTACCCTATTAAAGTAAAATAAAAGTCGAAAAAGAAAATAAGAAAATCTTGGGTTACAGGATGGAGGGTACTAACAAAATTAAAAATAGAACTACCATATGATCCAGCAACCCCGCTGCTGGGTATACATCCAAAAGAAAGGAAATCAGTATATCAAAGAGACATCGGCACTTGCATTTTTACTGTAGCACTATTCACAATAACCAAGATATGGAGTCAACCTAACTGTCCCTCAACGGATGAATGGATAAAGAATATGAGGTGGCCGGGCGCGGTGGCTCAAGCCTGTAATCCCAGCACTTTGGGAGGCCGAGACGGGCGGATCACGAGGTCAGGAGATCGAGACCATCCTGGCTAACACGGTGAAACCCCGTCTCTACTAAAAAATACAAAAAATTAGCCGGGCGAGGTGGCAGGCGCCTGTAGTCCCAGCTACTCGGGAGGCTGAGGCAGGAGAATGGCGTAAACCCGGGAGGCAGAGCTTGCAGTGAGCTGAGATCTGGCCACTGCACTCCAGCCTGGGCAACAGAAGCGAGACTCCATCTCAAAAAAAAAAAAAAAAAAAAAAAGAATATGAGGTACGTATACACAATGGAATATTATTTAGCCATAAAGAATGAAATCCTGTCCTTTGCAACAACATGGATACAACTGGAGGACATTACATTAAGTGAAATAAGCCAGGTACAGAAAGACAATGCATGTTCTCACTCATAAATGGAAGCTTAAAAAAAAAAAAAAAAACTCATGGAGATAAAGAGTGATAGTTACCAGAGGCTGGGAAAGAAAGCAGGTGGGGACTCCAGTTAAGGAACATGAAAACACAGTTAGTTAGAATGAATAAAATCTAGTATTTGGTAGCACAATAAAGTGATTATAGATAACAAGTATATATTTCAAAATAACTAGAAGAGTGGAATTGAAATGTTCTTAATACAAAGAAATGATACATACTTGAGGGGATGGATACCCCAGTTACCCTGATTTAATTATTGCACATTGTATGCCTATATCAAAACGTATAACCCATAAACATATAAAACTATTATGTACCCATAATAATTAATTTAAAATTAATAAAAAGAAAATCCTGGGTTCCAATCCCAGCCAGTCTACCATAGAACCCTCAGCAAGCCCTTTCTCCTCCTGCAGGCTCATCTGCCTTGTGTGAAGGTGGATGTGGGGCATGGCAGGGACTTGGTTCAGAAGCTCAACATAAATGGATAACTATGCGAGTCATAGACCATGTGATTCCATCCTGGAAGGGTCACCCATTCTGAAAAGCTTGGCTGAATTAAAAAGGAACGTCCTTCTCTCTGTGCCTCTGCAAGAACACAAAGGAGACCCAGTTCCTAGCCCTACAACACTTCTTCACATGTCCCATTTCCTTTCCTGCCCTTTCCAGAGCCTCTCATTTGATAAGACCCTCAAAACAAGTCTCCACTCATCCCTTGGCCTGCGTCTCTCTGTGCTGCAGATGGAGTGGTCTTTTCTCACCAAGCCCTCCCTCTTCCTCCCCCATCTTCAGTCCTGTCTCATCCACAGCACCCCACCCCCAATGCTCTACAACCCTACAACCTCCAGAGCCAACCTGGCAGCCACACGCTTCTCCCGTGGAGCAGGGATGGTGTGGGTAAAGGTCAGCATTGACGAGATGTCCTTTGGCAGCCAGAGTTGGGGAGGTGAGGAATCCTCTTCCGCGAATGAACTGTGCCCAGCCTCACATGGGCAGCTTAGAACCAGACTCCCTGCTGAGCTGTGTTCTCTGCCCACAGGGTGACAGCGGGGGACCTCTGGTCTGCACCCCGGAGCCTGGTGAGAAGTGGTACCAGGTGGGTATCATCAGCTGGGGAAAGAGCTGTGGAGAGAAGAACACCCCAGGGATATACACCTCGTTGGTGAACTACAACCTCTGGATCGAGAAGGTGACCCAGCTAGAGGGCAGGCCCTTCAGTGCGGAGAAAATGAGGACCTCTGTCAAACAGAAACCTATGGGCTCCCGAGTCTCGGGGGTCCCAGAGCCAGGCGGCCTCAGATCCTGGCTCCTGCTCTGTCCCCTGTCCCATGTGTTGTTCAGAGCTATTTTGTACTGATAATAAAATAGAGGCTATTTTTTTAACCAAGGGAGGGTGCATGAAAATGTGTCTCCAGCAGAGGCTCTGGCTCGGGGTCAAGGATGGAAACTGAGACTGGAACCAGGAGAACCAGAAAGTCAGGCTGGGGCCCTGGTTTGGGGACTGCACTTTGGGTCTGTGGATTAGTCAGGACTCTCTCCATTCTAGGTGACAGTCACCTAAGTTTGACTGAATTCAGCCAAAATGAGGCATTTATGGATACATATAACAGGAAAATAAAAATAAAAATAAAAAACCGACACACAAATATCCAGGGCAGGCATGATGACTTCAGGCGTGGCTGAGTCGAGGGGCTGAAAGGTGAAGGCTGTGACTGTTGTCTGTGGCCATTTCCCTCAAGAAGGGCTCCTCAGTGGTGGCCATGATGAGAATAAAGAATTTGCTGTTGTGCTGGGAAGTTAGTCTCTTAGATCTATGCAGGCCTTCAGCGGATTGGACAAGGCCCACCCACATTATGGAGGGAAATCTGCTGATTCAAAAGTTATCAATTTAAGTGTCAATCTTATCCAAAGATGCCCTGCAAGTTGACATATGAGATGAACCACCACACTGCCCAGGCAGCCTTCACATGGTGTTTACATTACTCCCGCCCATCAGAACGAACGATGTGCTTATGCTCACCCTACCTTAAGGACAACAGCTTATTGTAACCCTTCTATCAAGCAACCTTAATGTTTCCTGAGGACTCCACTGATACGGTTTGGCTATGTCCCCACCCAAATCTCATCTTTAATCCCACGTGTTGTGGGAGGGACCCAGTGGGAGATAATCGAGTCGCGCAGTGGTTTTCCCATACTATTCTCGTGGTAGTGATTAAGTCTCGCGAGATCTGATGGTTTTATCAGAGGTTTCCCTTTTTGCTTAGCTCTTGTTCTCTCTTGCCTGCTGCCATGTAAGATGTGCGTTTTGCCTTCCACCATGACTGTGAGGCCTCTCCAGCTACGTGGAACTGTGAGTCCACAAAACCCTTTTTCTTTATAAATTACCCAGTCTCAGGTACGTCTTTATCCATTGTGTGAAAACAGACTAACACACCCACTTTTCAAAATCACCTTTTTTCCGTTCCCCATCGTGGGCCTTCTCTCTTTTGGGGCAGGCAGGCAGGCCTGGGCTCCCCTTTCCCTCGCCTCTCAAGTTGTCACCTGTTCTCCTTTCTGGCTCGTCCTGGAGCCAAGCTGATGGTGCTCCCCTCTTGCTCTTTCCTTCATGTTCAGAGGCTCTCGCCTCTTCTTTCAGCTGACCTCCCTCCATGGCTCAGTCCTTCTGAGTTGCCTGCTGTGTTCCACCAGCATGTTGAGTGGCCCCTCCCTGCACCAAGCAGGACTCCCCCACCCTGCAGCATGCAGCTGCAAGGGCTGGTGTGGGGCGGACCACCATTCACAAGAAGCCCCTTGAGAACATGTTCTCGTCTTCCCCTCATGTAGACCCAGTGCTGCTGCGTGCTTCTTTCCTCCGGATTCGAATTTCCTGGGCCACCACCAAAGATGCAAAGGCAATTCAGGAAATGCAAATCCTTAAATGGAAGCTTGGGCTTTTCCTGGGGACCTACAGCCTGGCTGAGAGTTCTCCAGACAGAGACTGTGAAAAAAAGCTTCCTGGCTGGGCACGGTGGCTCAACGCCTGTAATCCCAGCACTTTGAGAGGCCGAGGCAGGTGGATCACCTGAGATCAGGAGTTCAAGACCAGTCTGGCCAACGTGGTGAAACCCCATTTCTACTTTAAAAAATACAAAAATTGGTTGGATGTGGTGGCAGGTGCCTGTAATCCCAGCCACTCGGGAGGCTGAGGCAGGATAATGGTTTGAACCCAGGAGGTGGAGGTTGCAATGAGCCGAGATTGCGCCATTGCACTCCAGCCTAGACAACAAGAGTGAAACTCCATCTCCAAAAAAAAGAAAAAAGAAAAAAACTTCCTAGTTCTCCTTTTTCCCACTCTAACCCTGCTCCTCCAGAGGTCCTACAGCTACAATGTCTAGAAGCCATTTTTTCAGAAACTCCTAAGAACCTGGGACTCAGGCAGGCCCAGTGGAGGGTGGCCAGCCAGAGTGTGCACCATCTCAGGACATCGCCAGTGTCCACTCCACTTTCCTGCTCACTGCGCTCTGACTTCTGTGTGAGGGCCCTCCCACACAGAAGGACTCCCAAATTGGGGGTCCTCCAATTTGCATAGTTCTGGATGGTTTTCACCCACTCTCCAATTTGCATAGTTGTGGATGGCTGGCCCTTTGCTGGGGCCTGGGGTGGGCATAGAACTCAAACCTGGCCTAGAAGGACATTGATTTTGGCCACAGGGATGGGAGCAGCAATGGGCTGTGGGCTTTGTGGGTCATAAGAGCGAGACCAAGACTTCTGCTGGAGTTATCAGGAACAAGACTCTCTCTCTCTCTCTCCTGGGACTCCCAAGATGGTAGGGTGCATGTTGAAGGTACTGCTCATGCGAAGGCTGCTGGGGAGTGTGGTGGTTCCTTTTATCTGTTAACTTGGAGGGCATCTTTGGATAAGATTAATGTTTAAATTGGTAAACTCTGAAGAAGCAGATTGCCCTCCATAATGGGGATGGGCCTCATCCAATCCACTGAAGGCCTGAGTAGGACAAAAATGATTGGCCCTCCCTGCACAAGAGGGAATTCCTCAGCCGCCCACCTTCGGACTTCACCTGCATTGTCAGCAATTCTGGGGCTCTGCTTGCCGGTCTCTAAACCAGAGCGGCACCATCGGCTCTCCTGCATCTCGAGTCTGCCAGTCCACATACCAGGTTCGAGCCTGCCAGTCTCTGTAATCAGGTGAGCCAATTCCTTATAATAAACAGCTTCATATCTGTATATCCATATTTATATCACCTATATATCTACATCTCATCTCTATATCAACTCTATCTAATCTATCTCTCCTGTTTTTTCTGGAGAACTCTGACTAATATGGGGGAAGAGCTTCTGTACTGTGAAGGGGCTTCTTAGATAATGAGGTGGAAGCAATGTTGCTGTTTCACTTTTCTTTTTTGAAACATGGTCTCACTCTGTCGCCCAGGCTGGAGTGCGGTGGCATGATCACAGTTCACTGCCACCTAGATCTCAGGCGATCCTCTCAACTCAGCCTCTCTAATAGCTGGGACTACAGGTACACATCACCACACCTGGCTCATTTTTTAAAATTTTTTGTAAGATGGGAGTCTCACTATGTTACCCAGGCTGGTCTCAAACTCCTGGGCTCAAGCAATCCTCCCGCCATGGCCTCCCAAAGTGCTGTGATTACAGGCATAAGTCACCGCACCTGGCCCTGTTTCACCAGTGAATGCAACATTTTGTCATGATATGGAAATTGTCAGTTTAAACATTATCCCATCAATTGTGATTAGTCAGGCTACAGGATTATCATCTGTGTCCCAAGAGAGTTTTCATACCTCGAGTCACACAGCGTAGTGTCTAACCTGCACTGTGGTTCCCCAGTGCGGATGTGTGGGGTCAAGACAGACACACAGAGACATCTGTTGGACATCAAGGGAAACAACAATGTCTGTTGGACATGGAGTCAACCACTGCTACTAAGGTGTTTAAACTTAACAACTTAATAAATGCAATTGTTAGGCATTTCATTTGGCCTAGAAGCACCATTTAAAAAAAAAAAAAAAAAAAAAAAAAAAAAAAAGCAAAGACACTAAGGGTTTGTGAACTGGGAAAGTTTGAAAAACCTCTGGCCTAAAAGACAATTGCTGATTTTAATATTTTGTATTTAAGAATTAGGGGTGGAGTTTTGTTACAAATTTTTGTGGAGGGTAATTTGAGAGTAGCCAAACGTCCTCCTTAAAGATGACCTGGCCAGGCACGGTGGCTCACGTCTGTAATCCCAGCACTTTGGGAGGCTGAGGCAGGTGGATCACTTGAGTTCAGGAGTTCAAGACCAGCCTGGCCAAAAATGGTGAAACCCATCTCAACTAAAAAATACAAAAAAAATTAGCTGGTGTGTGGTGGTGGGCACCTGTAATGTTCAGCTTACCTTGAGAGGCTGAAGCCAGGAGAATCGCAGATGAGGCAGAGGTTGCAGTGAGCTGAGATCACACCCATTGCACTCCAGCCTGGGTGACAAGAGCAAAAACTTGTCTCAAAAAAAAAAAAAAAAAAAAAAACCTCCTGCAGCAGGGGACATGAAATCAAGGCTCGGTGTCTGTGGGCTGTTTTTGTCTGCTCTGCACCTAGTGGCTCCGGTTTATTTGGGGGAACCCTCTTCCTCATTGCCCAGTTTCTGATCCCACCTTTCTCAAGATCCATTTCGTATGGACAGGTAGAGCCCCACCTCTGATTCCGGAGGTTGCATGGGACCAGGCCTGGCCAATGAGAGGCCCTCAACCCAGGGCCTCAGGATGTCTTTCAGGTGGCCCTGAGAACCAAGCTTGGCAATCTTGGCAAGTCCCAGAACTTCACTTGGGACTTGCACAGGCTCTTTGAGATTAGCAGCTCTCTCTCTGTCTGCTAGGACTGACCCTTGCAGAATGTAAGCCTAGAGCTTCTGGGGGCCCCATGTGGAGGTCACTGCCCTGAGAGTGAAGTCAAAGAGTGAAGACATCACATCCTGATGATATTTTTATAGCCCTTACAGCCAGGCATGCCTGAACCACAGATTTCTTTTCTTTTCTTTTTTCTTTTCTTTTCTTTTCTTTCCTTCCTTCCTTCCTTCCCTTCTCTTTCTTTCTTTCTTTCTTTTTCTTTTCTTTTTTTTTTTTTTTTAGACAAGGTCTTCACTCTGTTGCCCAGGCTGAGTGCAGTGGCACCATTTTGTTGCCTTTAACAAATCTCTCCCTATCTTCCCCTTTCCCCTATCCTTCTTAGGTTCTAGTATTCTCTGTTCTAATTTTTACTTTTATGAGACGAACATCTTTTAGTTTCCACATCATATAAGCATTTACAGCTATACATTTCCCTCTCACTGCTGCTTTAGTGCATCACATATGTTTTTGTGTGTTATGTTTTCACTCTCATTGACCTTAAAGTATTTTCTAATTTCCCATGTGAGCTCTTTTTACTCATTGGTTGTTTAGGAGTGTGCTGTTTAATTTTTATATATTTGTAATTATTCTCCTGTTATTTATTTCTAATTTAATTCCACTGAGGTTGGAGAACATACTTTGTATTATTTCAATCCTTTTAAAAATTTGAGAATTGCTTTATAGCTTAGAATATGGTCTACCCTAAAGAATATTTTATGTACTCTATTTTAAAAAGTATATTCTGCTATTATTGGGTAGCGTGTTCTATAGATGTTTGTTAGGTCTAGCTGGTTTATAGTATTGCCAAAATCTTCTATATCCTTGTTAATCTTCTGCATAGTTGTTCTATCCATTATTTAACATGATGAGATTTAAGTCTCCAACTTCTGTTATTAAATTGTCTCTTTCTTCCTTCAATTCTGTCATTTTTTGCTTCCAATATTTTAATGTTCTATTATTAGGTGTATATATGTTTATAGTTGTTGTATCTTTCTGAATCATTGACCCTTTAGTCATTATAAAATATCCTTCTTTATCTCTAATGACTCTTTTGTTTTACAGTCTATTTTGTTGATATTATTAGCATCATATCAGCTCTTTTATCGTTACCATTTGCATAGTATATCTGTTTCCATCTTTTTATTTTTAACCTACTTATATATGTGAATTTAAATGTGCTTCCTGTAGACAACACATAGTGGAACTTGTTTGTTTATCCAGTCTGACAATCTCTGTCTTTTAATTGGATTTTTAGTCCACTCACATTTAATGTGATCATTGATATAGTTTGATTTACAGATGCCGTTTTGGTTTGCTTTCCTGTATGATGCTTTTCCTTTTTGTCCCTCTGATCTTCCTTTATAGCCTTTTGCATCAAGTCAATATTTTCTAGTGTAGCATTTTAATTTTTTAATGATGCTATTTATATGTTTGAGTTGTTTTCGTAGTAGTTGCACTAGAACTTATAATACACATCTCAACTTATTAGAATTAACTTCTGGTTTAGACTAACTTATTTCTAGTAAGAGATCAAAACTTCCTTCCTATGTAGTCCTATTTCCTCCTCCTCTTTTTTTTTGCTATTATTTTCATATATTTACATCTACATATGTTATAAATCCAAAAATACCTCACTATAATTGTTACATTATTTAACTTTATGTCTCATAGATTTTAAGAGAAGAAAGGAGATAAAGTATGTATTTATACAATTTTTATATTAACCTTAACAGGCACAGAAAACTGACCGTGTACTCTGTTGACCCAGCCTCAACAAACAGGACATGGTGGCCTGGACCTGTGCTTCTCAGACCATCCGTGAGGAAAAAGACCAGGGCTTTTGGTTTTTGGTTTTGCTTTGTTGGAAATTTCCAACTTATTTCAAACCAATACTTTCATACAACATAAAATTGAACTACTTAAAAAATGAAATTGAAAATGAACACATAAAATGCAAGCCCACGTTATTTTATTTTATTTTTTTTTTGGAGAGAGTGTCTCATTCTGTCACCCAGGCTGGAGGGCAGGGTGCAATCAGGACTCACTGCAGCCTCAACCTCCCAGGCTCAAGTGATCCTCCTGTCTCAGCTTTCTAAGTATCTGGGACCACAGGTGTGCACCATCATGCCTGACTAATTTTATTTTATGGAGAGATGGGGTCTCGCCATGTTGCCCAGGTTGCAAACTTTTTTATTACAGTCAACCCACATAACCCACTTAACTTTAAGTTTCTGTAAGGGTTTCTAAGCATTTACTCTCCATTTCTCTGCTTATCTCTTCGTGGGCCAGAAACAAGCAGTTTGCAGACCAGCAGTGATCCCTATTCCACACTTCAGAAGCATTTCCCTAGAAGACCCAGACTTTAATCATCAAGAAATAGATGCCACCTGGCTACCAAGCCCAGGCTTTCTAAGGTAGAAGAGGATCACATTAGAATATGGATTGGATTGGAATGAAGCTTTCGGTGTGGCTCATGAATCATCGTTTGAATTGAGACTGTAGAGACTTATGTATTATTCATTGTCTTGAGCAGTAAGAGCTCACAAAGCTTCTCAGTGTCCTAGCCCAGAATAGCTTAATTGGGCACTGTTGCTCTGCAATGCAAAGTGCCTGTTTAATTCTGAGTTTTGCATTTTTACATCAGAACCGGCCCAGTAAGAGGCATCTTCTATCTTTAGTCCTGGCTTATTGCTCTTTGCTTGCGTGTGTGAATGCTGGGCCCCTCCCTGCAGAGCTTCTTGCCAGAGTGCTGTCCCCAGATTACCCTGAGACTCAGATGCTGCGTGAGCAGCTGCTAGGCACAGATGGGTAGAGGAAGGCAGCCCCCATCTGAGGTCCGAGCAGCAAAGGCAGGCCTCAGTGTCACTTATGCCCAGGGGAACTAGGCTCCCCTCAGCTGAGCCAGCTTCCAGAATGACGTTGGCCATGGCTCAAAGCTTAGCCCCAAGAATGTGAGCCTCTAAGTCCCAGGTCCCTTGCCTGTAAAATGAGAATCATTGCATGGACAGAGTAAGGCTACTGAGGCTGTGACGATGCAGAAAGAGCCATGAGCAAAGCCTGCCATACACTGAACACTCAGGGAACTAAACGGCCCCAGACAAAGCAGAGCCACACGACCCCAGGGTTGCCACAGACCCTTATAACCCTCAGGGCTAGCCAGTTCCCTATCTCACCCCTAAATCCCTCCCTGCAACAGGATCAAGTCCCCTTGACGCTCTTCACGTCAATCCCAACAGCTAGTTGTACCCTTGAATGCCTCTGCAGTAACAAGGCATCCAGCATCAGAAAACTGACCATACACTCTGTCAACCCAGCCTCAGCAAGCTCCAAAGTCTTAGTCTTGGATCCACAGGGCAGCCACATGCTCCTGTTGCCCCCTCCAGGCAGCCCTCCTGGTCACATAGAGAACTCACCACCTGCAGGCAGCCCTCTGCTGCCTGCTCTTGACAAACAAAACAAAACAAAACAAAACAAACAAAAACACAGGGTCTCACTCTGTTGCCCAGGCAGAAGTTCAGTGGCCCAATCACGGCTCACTGAAGCCTCACCCTCCAGGCTCAAGTGATCCTTCCACTTCAGCCTCCTGAGTAGCTGGGACCACAGGAGTGTGCAATCACACCTAGCTAATTATTTTTTGTAGATACAAGGTCCTCCTATGTTTCCCAGGCTGGCCGTGTACTCCTGGGCTCAAATGATCCTCCCACCTCAGCCTCTCAAAGTGCTGGGATTACAGGTGTGAGCCACTGTTCCCAGCTCAGCCCACAGCTTTGACCAAGAGTACAGAATCCTATGCTGAGCCACATCAGCCTCGCCGTAGCCCAGCAGATGGCAGTGTGCAGGCTGGAAGACCTCGCTCTGGCTTCATGGAGCCATGACATCCCCAAACCACACATCTCAGCTACTGCAGTCACCGCTCCTATTTATAGCTCCACAATTCCCGCCATCCTTGTCACCAGACAACCTCCCTTGTAACACTCTTCCCAGAGTGAGCCGCCGAGGGTGGTCCAGGCATGCGCCAGCCTGTTGGCTCTGACAAGGGGGTGTCAGCACTCACCCAAAGATCGGGCCTCCAACAACGCCCCCCTCCCGCTCCGAGAGCCCATGTCTTTTCTCTCCTCTTTGAGCTTCCGGTGGCCTGGAAACCTGCACTGTTTTGCAGAGCTGCTTCTAGACTCATCCCCACCCCGCACTTCCCTTTTGTGGACTCCGGAGGTGGACCCCACCCTGACCTTTCTAAACCCTGGAATGTGTGAGATTCCAGGGCCCTCAGTCTCAGCCTCCTGCCTTCCTCTGTCTGACACCACGGCTGCCTCGCCACATCCCCGGGCCTCCCGGTGCTCTGCTCCTCCAGCCAACCCCATCAGCCGGCACCACTCAGGCTCGAAGCCCCAAGTTGGCACCTTCTCCTTCCCGTCCCTCCTTTTCCCTTCCCTTCCCACTCCTTTTCCCTCCTTTTCTTTCCTTCCCTTCCTCCCTCTCCCTTTCCCTCCTATCCCCTTCTTCCCTCCTCTCACTTCCCCGCCTCCACTCAGTCTTGGTGGATTGCTGCGGATTTGGTGTTGCTCATTCACTCATCAAACATTTGCTGAGAGTCTTTTATATGCCATTGCTGTTCCAGTCACGGGGAGGAACAGGGAACAAAATGTCACGCCCTCAGAAGCCGACACTCTAAGGGGACAGACGCCATAAACACACAGCTGTTGCTGAACCTGATGGGTGGAGAGGCACAGGGGAGAACAAGGAAGAAGGAGCGGGGGCGGAGGAGGGACTCCTTCCTACAGCAGGTGCCCCGGAAGGCCCGGCTGAGAGCTGAGACCTGGAGGACAGGAGGCTTAGGACAGGACTGTTCTGTGTGAAAGGGTGTCTCGGGGATCTCTGGGCCTTTCCAAAACAGAGCTTCCCAGAGCTTTGCAGAATGAACAGGCTTCCTTTGGCAGCTGGGGCTGGCTTTGGAGAGGGAGCTCAGGCAGCGAGCTCTCAGGTGGGCCTGGCTGGGGCGGGGTGCAGTTCCCAGATGTCGCCTCAAGGTGGCAGAGTGACTCCAGACCAGGCAGGAGGACTTCGGTGTCTCCCTGTGCTTGGTCAGGCCTGGAGACCTGGGGCAGCCCCAGGGAGGCGACAGACACAGCCCTGGAAGGGGAGGGAAGCAGAGGTTCCCTGACAGCTGGCTGGAGCCTTCTAGGAGCGGCTGTGTCCCCACCCTCCCGGTGGCTGCCACCCTCCTGGGCCCTCACGGGTGGGGCCCTAGGCCCAGGCATTGCATCCAATGGGCCGTGGCTCTGCGGGGTTCCCCCGTCGCCCGGGTCCTGGGAGCTGGGAAACGATTTCCCTCACTCTGAGGCTGGGGCCACTTTGGACCCTTCCCTTCCCGACACAGCGAGCCAGGAATCTGGGCCAACAGCTTAGCCCCAGCCATTCCCCCTGGCTGGAAGTCCCCTCCGGAAGCAGACGAGGAGCTGCTGAGGCAGAAGCCCAGGCACAGGCGGGACCCGGCAGCCTGAGGCACCCACGGCTCCAAAGCCTCAGACTTGGATCTGCAGGGCAGCCACAGGGCTCCTGTGCCCCCTCCGGGCAGCCCTCCTGGTCACACATCCACTCTAAGCCTTTTATTAAGCATCTCCTGTGTGCCAGGTACTGTGCTGGGGACCTGGTGGTGGGGCAGACAGATTGGAATGGCCAGCCCCAGAGATCAAAGTCAAGAGCAGGGGCCCCACCGGGCCGGGGTGGGATCAAGCCCACTGTGTGTCTTATGGGACCGCAGCCATGCCTGTTGCCTGGCGTCTGGTCTGTGGGTACTGCTGTATATACAGGCATAAGCTCAATAGATGCAACCAAGGCTGGGTGGGCCCTGGAGCCTGGAGCATTTACTACCTGACGCTTGACAGAAAACATTCGCTTACCCTGGTCTAGAGGGGGAGATGGATGTACACGGACAGTCACCTCACCATAATACGTGCTAGGACAGAGGTGAGGGCGATGAGGGACGGAGCTGGGTCCTGTCCTGTAGGCCTCTGAAAGGTTCCTGCAGCGGCCACAGTCACAGAGAGCCACTGAAGAGGCTTGAGCAGGAGTGACATGATCCAATCCCAGAAACTCTGGTGTGGGAAGTGGGGGTGAGGGGACGGCCGCAGAGCCAGCGCCCCGGTAGGAGATGGTTGTAAAAGCCTAGGAAGGTGGCCTGTGGGGATGGGAAAGGGTCTGAGGTTGATGGCATTTCAGAGGGTGGACGATGGCATCGGAATGTTGAGATGTGGGTTGGGTTCAGGCCTAAGCCCGTGTCCAGCCTGTGTCCAGAACTCTGGGGGTCACACAGAGGCTCACGAAGCCCTGCTAAACGCGACAGTGATGAGACCCCGCAGAGCAGCAAGAAGAGCCGCTGGTTCTACCATGTGAAACTAGGCCCCAGGAGCTCAGCCCACCTGCTGTTCAGTGGCCATGTTAGGGTGCCAGGCAGGGGCTTCCTGACGTCAGTTCCAACGCTCAGTGCCTCTTTTGGGCTGTGTCTCTCCCCCTGATGTTGGAGAAAGATGGAGTGCTCAGGGCCATGGAACAGCACAGGCACAGCCAGCAGCTCCCCATTCTGTCATTTCTCTAAACTGCAATTTTCTTACCTGCAAGGTGGAAGTAAGGTCCCGTTCCCAGCCTGGCTCTCAGTCTTGTTACAGCGAGATGATGCATAGAGAAGCACTGATAATCCATAAAGCATTTTTATCTTTTTTTTATTTTTATTTTTGAGACAGAGTCTCACTCTGTCGCTCAGGCTGGAGTGCAGTGCCGCGATCTCAGCTCACTGCAGCCTCTGCCTCCCAGGTTCCAGAGATTCTCCTGCCTCAGCCTCCCAAGTAGCTGGAATTACAGGCGCCCGCCACCATGCCCTGCTAATTTTTGTATTTTTAGTAAAACAGGGTTTCTCCATGTTGGTTAGGCTGGTCTCCAACTCCTGATTTCAAGTGATCTGTCCACTTTGGCTTCCCAAAGTGCTGGGATTATAGGTGTGAGCCACCGCGCCCGGCCCGCAAGGCATTTTAGCTATCCAAGTCATCGTTATCCACAGAGAATTACCTAGTGAGCCCCATAACACATAAGTGGGGGTCCAGAACTCCCAGCTCCTGAAGTACAAGGCTGGTTATGGCCAAGTCAATGAAGGAAGGGGCTGAGCCTGGGGAGCCGGCAGCCTGGCCTCACGTTTCTGGCCCCATAAATCTGTCCTAGTCCTGGCTCTGGTGTGGCATCAGCTGGTGGCAGTTGGCTGCTGTGCCTTAAACATTAAGAATTTCTGGGACTCTTGATGGGACTTCCAAGAGTTTGCGTCCAAGACAGACGCAAACTCCAGAACACTCCCAACTGATGCCATTTTGTTGACTTGACTGGAGAAAATTGGGGCACAGGGACCCAGTCTCTGCCTCCCCACTTCTGAGACTGATTGCCTGCAGTTTCCCAACCAGCCTGCCCCTCTCCTCCCTGCCTGCCCCTAGAGAATGCTTGATGACAACTGTGTTACCCTGGGATAGGTTATCTGGGTTTTTACTGTATCAGCTTCTCCTGAAGATGTAGCTTTCCATTCAATACCTGTGTTAATCACCTGATGTATGTGGGGGCATGTGTGTGTGAGCATGTGAGCATGTGTGTGCACGTGTGTGTGCGTAAGCACAAACACATCTGCAGGGGTGGATGGAAAGCTGGAGGGAGGATTGCTTGCTCAGCTATCCTGTCTTCTTTCACTTTCAGATGACCCTGAATAAATCAATTACTCCCACTAAAACATTTTACTGCCCCAAGAGTGATATGGACCCAGCTTTCCAGGACACTTTGAAATCCCCTGTTGCCGCCACCTTCTCTTACTATCTTCTTGTTCATAGCATACTCAGAAGGTCCTGCAAGTGATGGGCTTTGAGCACTTTCCAAGACCCCTTCCTTCTGAGAGGGCAGTGGAAGGATATCCTTTAAAAGCTGTCTGTGCTCAACAAGCAATAAAGGTCGTGCTTCATGGCTGAAGGTCGAAAGGCACAGGAAGCAATCGGGCGCACAGGACTTCTTACTGATCTCCTTATTTGCCTTCTTTTCTTCTAAGACAATGAGCTTATGAGGCAGAAACTCCCTTGGCTTTAAAATGCACTCACTCATTCATTCATTCATTTATTCTTCCTGTTATTGAATCAGAATAAGTGTTCAGTTCTTCTCTTTGTGCTGGGAAACACAAAGACAGGGAGTGCCCGGTTGCTGTCTTAGGGAACTCGACCTCTGGTGGGGAAGGCAGGGTAACCGGCAGCATTGCAGGCGTGAGACGCAGCACAGGTGGAGGCGTGAACTGAGGCCACGAATCCCAGCAGATCGAGGACCAGCTTCCCTGTGACTGCACGTCCTGCAAGGTCATCTTGTGCAAGGTAGGGGCACCCTGCAGCGGGGTTTTACCTCTTAACTCTGGCAATGCTGACCAACATGCCAATGAGAGGGGCTGAAGGGAACGGCTGAGAACAATGGAACCATGTCTCTCCATCTGCACAGGCTCTAAGAGCACTTGGTGATGGGGAAAAGCTCTCACCCCATCCTTTTAGGGGGGCACGAAAAATTCGCACTCCTCTCTCTCTTTTGTCAAGCCCCACGCTGTCCTCACTGTAAAGCATCTCCATATTCCCTGTGCTTTCCGTCTACCCATTTAATAGGAACCAACAAATTTTTCCAAAAGTAGAACCTTTGCAAAATCCCTGCTTTCAACTGTTCCTGCCCAAAGACGCAGTTAAATGACAGAAACATTGCCCATTTGGATAATAGCAATACAGAGCAGCCGGATATTGAGATGCACCACAGAACATGCTGGAAGTTGCTGGGGGAAAGGGCACCATTTCCTGCCTTGCCTCAGTAAGCCTTAATGTACACTGTGCAAAGGGAAATGTCTTCATGCTTAGAATAAAGAGTATTGGAAGCTACTGGTTATGAGGAAGCCCCTCATCTTTCTCTTAGAACAAAGTCTGGGGTCTATTTGATTGAAAGCAGAAAGCCCATTTCTAACTTGCTGATGCTCTCAAGATTGGAACTTTTAAAGAATCCCATTCTTTGAGAGAGTGAAATCATGGGAGTGTTAATCATGGCAAAGCTAAGGATGGCTGGAGGCCTCCAGGAAACATCTTCCTACTTTAATCTGCTGAGCACTGGGTTGAAAAAGCAAAGCTTAGATGTGACCCCAAAAGCACAGACAGCAAAAGCAAAAAAATAGACAAATGGGGTTGCACTAAACTAAGAAGCTTCTACACAGCCAAGGAAACAATTAACAGAGTAAAGAGACAACCTATGGAATGGGAGAAAACATTTGCAAACCGTGTATCTTTTAAGGGGTTAATCCCTAAAATATACAAAAAATCCAGACAACTCAATAGTAAGAAAACAAATAACCCAATTTAAAAATGGGCAAAGGACCTGAATAGACATTTCTCAAAAGAAGACACATAAGTGGCCGAATGAAACACTTCTCAACATCACTAATCATCAAGGAAATGCAAATTAATATCACAAAAACATATGACCTCACACCTGTTAGAATGGCTGTTATCAAAAAGACAAAAGATAGTGAGTGTTGGTGAGGATGTGGAGAAAGGGGAATGTTTGTACTCCGTTGGTGTGAATGTAAATTAATACAACCAAAATGGGGAACAGTATGGAGGCTTCTCAAAAACTACCATATAATCCAGCAATCCCACTTCAGGGTATCTTTTCAAAGGAAATGAAATCAGTATGTTGAAAAGATATTTGCACTCTCATGCTTGTATTATTCATAATAGCCAAGACATGTGTTGTGGTTTAGTTCTGTGTCCCCACCCAAATCTCAGTTTGAAGCATAATTCCCCGGTGCAGAGGGTGCGACCTGGTGGGAAGTGATTGGATCGTGGGGGCAGTTTTCCCTTTGCTATTCTCGTGATAGTGAGTGAGTGCTCACAAGATCTGATGGTTTCATAAGGGGCTCTTCCCCCTTCGTTTGCTCTCTCTCTCACCTGCTGCCATGTAAGACATGCCTTTGCTTCTCTCTCATCTTCTGCCACGATCGTAAATTTCCTGAGGCCTCTCCAGCCATGTGGAACTGGGAGTTAATTAAACCTCTTTTCTAAATAAATTACCCAGTCTTGGGTATGTCTTTATAGCAGTGTGAGAATAGAGTAATACAACCTGGAACAACCTATGTGTGCATCAACAAATGAATGATAAAAATATATATATCTCTCTCACATTCTCTTTATCATTCGTTGATGGACATATATATAAGATGGATATATATATAATATACACAATAAAATGCTATTCATCCTTAAACAAGAAGGAAATTCTGTCATTGACAATGACACAGATGAACCTAGAGGACGTTAGACTAAGTGAATTAAACCAGGTCCAGAAAGACAAATACTGCATTATCTCACATACATATGGAATATAAAAAATTTGAACTCATGGAATCACAGAGTAGAATGGTGGTTATGAGACCTGAGGTCAAAGGGCACAAAATTTCAGTTAGACAGGAGAATTAAATTTTGAAGATCTATTGTACAGCATGGTTACTATTGTTAATACAGTAATAATGTATTACAGACTTGAAAATTGCTAAGAGAAGAGATCTTGAATGTTCTCATCACAAAAAAGCAATATGTAAGGTGATGGATATGTTAATTAGTTTAATTGGAGTAACCATTTCACAATGTATACATAAATCAAAGCATCACATTGTACGTCATAAATACGTACAATTTTTTGAATTTGTCAATTATACTTAAAATTTTTTAAAAAGCAAAGCTATTTTCCCACTTTACAAAGAATGAACACTGGAAGCTCTCAAACAAAGCCACCTGGGTCTCACACCTTTCATCTGCAAAATTGGTGCTTTGCTCTTTCTTCTATATGGAGTCATTTTGAGGCAGAAAACATACCCTTGGTCATAGCCTTGAGTTGAAAATCTTTGAGGGCATTTTCTGTCCAAATGACTGAAAAAATCGACCAAAACCTCTTCGTTTTGATGATGCTCATGCTTTGTGATAGGAGTAGCCTCAAATTATTGCTAAAGGGTTCTCTTTTCTTGTCTAATAATGAAAATCCAGGCAATTACTAGCAAAGAGAGCAAGTTGCCTTGGGAGGAGAATTAGGCCTCATCATGATTATGACTACTGGTTTCATTTCATGGCGAGAGAGGGGCCCAGGAGTCTGCTTTGGTGTACCTTTGAATGATGACTGATTTAATAATGATATTTATTTAACACTTTTTATGTGTACTATTAGGCACTGTATGTAAAATCTCACTTAATCCTCAATATGGCCAAATGAAGTAGGCCAGACTATTTATACCTATTGACTGATTAAGAAAATGAGACATAAAAGGTTTAGATAGCTTGCCCAAGGGCGCACAGGAACTGGCAGTAGACTTCCTGCCTTCTGGGTCATCCTCCATGAAGTTGCTGAGAACCACCCAGGAAAGAGCAAGCCCTGGTGGCCAGCCAGGTTTGGGGCACGTGGTCTCCTAAGCTAGGGAACAGGGTTCCAAGGACTTCTTCTGCCTGCACTGCATGGTCTTTGCTCCTGTAGCCACCCTCTAGACTTCCAGATCCCCCAGCTGAGATGCATGCATTTTCTAAAATCAATATGGATCACTGTGTCACCAAGGAAATAACCCAACAATTATTTTGTAAAGGATCCAAGGGTGAGACAAGTTTTAATTATAATCCCTTTCACTCTGAATGCTCAGCCCCACCAACCTGCCCCTATTGTTTGTCCTGATGTCCTCCATTTGTCTCACAACCATTAACAGATGCCTCATGAGAAGCCATCCATGGGCTTGGGGATGGGAATGGAGCAGTGAACAAAAAGGAACAGGCATTGCTCTGCGGAGCATATACAGTATGGGGAAGGCTGGCATCTATGAAATCACTACACAAATATATATAAGTTGCAACTGCAATAAACATGAATGCAAATAAAAAATTCTAAGCCCCACAACCAACTGAATGGACCCCCTCCTTTTAGCCAAGGGCATTCCAAAGTAAACCTGAAACACTAGTTCAGGGCATGATGGGAAGTGGGGATCAGGCATGCCTCATTATGCCCTCCTCCCTTTGGAATTCAGGCACAGCTGGCCAGCATTAACAGTAAAACAGATGCATTAAGACTGACAGAACTTGCCGGGCGCGGTGGCTCAAGCCTGTAATCCCAGCACTTTGGGAGGCCGAGACGGGCGGATCACGAGGTCAGGAGATCGAGACCATCCTGCGCGAACACAGTGAAAACCCGTCTCTACTAAAAAATACAAAAAAACTAGCCGGGCGAGTGGCGGGCGCCTGTAGTCTCAGCTACTCGGGAGGCTGAGGCAGGAGAATGGCATAAACCGGGAGGCGGAGCTTGCAGTGAGCTGAGATCCGGCCACTGCACTCCAGCCTGGGCGACAGAGCCAGACTCCATCTCAAAAAAAAAAAAAAGACTGACAGAACTGACTCTTTGTAGTAATAATGATACCAACATGACAGATAGCAGGCCCTGAAAGAAATTGAAGCTTTTTGCCCTAAAATCTATTTCTTTGGTAGATTTTGAATGGTCTCACAAAGCTGTCTCTCGTGAGGAAAATCTACATTCTGTAATTTCTTCCCTTTCCAGATCTTTCTCTGATCCAGGAGAGAATTAACTGAGATTCTGGCCGTCTTTCTAACTCTGTTAAGAAACATTTACAATCTATTCTCTCTGAAACCTGCTGCCTGGAGACTTCATCTACATAAATAAAAACCTTGGTCTCCACAATCCCTCATCATATCCATTCGACACTCATTCTATTGATTCAGGTCTTTAATAACAATTTATTTTCAGTCATTTCAACAATTGTCAATTAGAAAATCTTTGAGTACACCTTATGACCTGGAAGCCCATGACAACCATTTACATATTATATGTATGATTGATGTCCTTCGTCTCCCTAAAATGTATAAAAACCAAGCGTAGCCTGACCACCTTGGGCACATGTTCTCAGGATCTCCTAGGCCACATGTTCTCAGGATCTGGATGGTACCCATATTTGGCTCAGAATAAATCTCTTCAAATATTTTATTTTTTCTCCTTTTGTCAACATGACTTTGTTAGAGAGAAAGTGGAGATGAGAGGAGGAGTTCGTTTCTGGACAGTCTCCTAGAAGTCTTCCTGTGGAACATGGATTGAAGCTGTAACCAAAACACAGACTCAGTTGTTCTTTGCTGGCAGAGTATATTAATAGAGGTGAGGTCTGGTATAAAGAAGTGACTTTTTATTACAGAGCTAGCTAGGGGAAGAAGTACAGGCTTTCTGCCTTAAGCGTTCTGCTTCCCTTTTGGAACAGAAAGCAGGTGCTTTTAAAAGGAAAATTGACAGGTCAGGCACAGTGGCTCATGCCTGTAATCCCAGCACTTTGGAGGTCGAGGCAGGTGGATCACCTGAGGTTGAGAGTTCGAGCCAGTCTGGCCAGCATGGCAAAACCCGTCTCTACTGAAAACACAAGAAAATTAGCTGGTGTGATGGGTGCTTGCCCGTTATCCAGTACTTGGGGGGCTGAGGCAGAGCATCGCTTGAACCTGGGAGTGGAGGTTGCAGTGAGAATGAGATCATGCCATTGCACTCCAGCCTGGGCAACAAAAGCAAAACTCTGTCTCAAAAAAAAAGAAAAAGAAAAAAAAAAAAGAAAAGGAAAATTGACATAAATGGCATGCAGTGGAGGAAGCAGGCAGGTAGAGGTCTATATAACTCACTTTGGTGCTGTATCTACTAGGTGGTCGAGTTGGCACCTTCACGGGCAGAACTAAGTTGTAAAAGTTATTGAATATCTCTAGGTGGGAGAGTTTCACGTTGACCATACTTTGAGTTGTGGATAGACTGCTGTCTCTTGAGGCAATCTTCAGGTGGGAGAGAGTTTCGTGTTGGGGATACTTTGAGTTGTAGATGGATTGCTCTCTCTCAAGCTGAGAGAGAGTCCCACACTGGAGTTACTAAGCACCTACTTAGCTGAACTTGCCCTGTGGACAGTACCTGGTGAAGGGGAGGTAAAAGGCTATAATTGCCCTTCTAAAGAGCTAAGTAGGAAGTGGGAAGCAGAGGAAAGCAGGAAGGAGAAAAGAAGAAAAAAAATAATAAACTCATTCTCTTGTTCTTAGAAAGATGGAAGTACTCAATTTTAAAACCAAAATAGGAAGTGACAAGTAGGAGAACAATGAAGGAAAGAGCATTCCAGACAAAGGGCACAATGTGCTCAACACCCTTGTAGCAAGAGGAGACATGCTGGATCTCAGAGGCTGAAAGAGGGCGTGATGGTTAATTTCATGTATCAACTTGACTGGGCTAAGTGATGCCTAGATAGCTGGGAACACATTATTTGTGGGTATCTCTGCAAGGCTGTTTCCAGAAGAGATGAGTATTTGAAAATGAAGAATGAGTAAGAAAGATCCTCCTTCTCCCATGTGGGTGGGCATCACCAAATCCACTGAGGACCCAGATAGAACAAAAAGGCAGAGGAAGGGTACATTCATTCTCTCTCTTCTCAAGCTGGGACATCCATCTTCTCTTGCTCTTGAACATTAGGGCTCCTGGTTCTTGGGCCTTTGGATTCTGAGACTCCTACCAACAGCTCCCCCAGCTGTGGTTTCTTATGACTGCTAAGTTGATGGATTAATCATGGGAGGGAAGGTTCTGGTTCAGACTAGAAGACCAGGCCCCATCCTGCCTGGGCTGTGAGTCTGTAAGAAGCCCCTGTTAGGGAAGCCTCTGCCACTCCCCAGGCTTGCTCCTTCTCTCGCCAGGATCTTTGTCCCCTGCAGATGAGATATCTGCCATCTTCTTCCTGCTCTCTAAAGTTGGCCTTCACTCTAAACTGAGTTGCCCCAAGTCCTTCAGAACCCAGGGAGAAGCAGCTGCCTCTTCCTTTAGAGTCGACAGAATGTGTTCCTGTCACTTTCAGGTCACTCCTGGTCCCAAATCCTAAAAAACCTCCCAACTCACACCCTTGCCATCCCAACTGACTCCTTTTCCTCCTGTCCCCACCTTTGACCTGGCTGCTTGGCCCTTGGCATGAGCCTGGCGTCTCTAAGGACCCAGAGTCAGCCGTCCCTTCCAACAGATCGTGTTACTGCCCTCAGGTAACACTTCCAAGGGTCCCATGAGATGTTCCATGCTCATGGCCATTCTCTCACTGCTATAAAGAAACACCTGAGACTGAGTAATTTATAAAGAAAAGAGTTTTCATTGGCCCACGGCTCTGCAGGTTGTACAGGAAGCATAGTGGCTTCTGCTTCTGGGGAGGCCTTAGGAAACTTAGAATCATGGCAGAAGGCAAAGGGGAAGCAGGCACATCTCACATGCCTGGAGCAGGAGCAAGAAAGAGCAGGATGGGGGAGGTGCCACATACTTTTAAACAATGAGATCTCATGAGAACTCTATCACAAGACAGCACCAAGGTGATGCTGCTAAACCATTCATGAAGGTTCCACCCCTACAATCCAATCACCTCCCATCAGACCCCACCTTCAACACTGGGGATTACAATTTGACATGGGATTTGGGCAGCGACACAGATCCAAACCCTGTCAATGCATGTTTGGGAAACTCTCCTGGTTGCATCTCCATCTTGAAAGTCTCCATCTTCATATTGGAGATTCACTGTGTTAGCACCGTAAAGTTTCTGGAAGGTTCTGCAGTATAAGCTACTGTTCCATCTGGTGAACCTGGCCTTCCCTAAACCTTCATGACCCTGGACTTCCATGTCCACATAACATTTGTGAACATGCCACGAATGATGCAGACAGACACGGACATTTGACAAAGGCGTTCTGGTGTGATTGCTCCAGCCAAGCACTGATAATTTGGCTACCTGCCCATGCACCAGCCCTTTTCTTCCTAGGTATCCCAAGTCCAGCTCCCTTCTTCTTCACCAAGCCCCTAGTCTTGTCTTTACCCTGATACTTCATTATATTTCAAGCCCTGATCTAATAGCAAGGAGCTGGGGCTTTCTTTCTCTTTTTTCTTTTCTTTTTTTTTCTTTCTTTTTTAAAAAATTTGCTTCTGTCACTCAAGGAGCTGGGGATTTTCTAGAGGCCCCAGAGTTTCAACCTGAACATGCAATCCCAAGTGAGAAGTTGAAACCTGATGTAAGCGAAGCTTGGTGATGATGAGTCACATTTTAGTGTTTGTGGACTGAATGAATGAGGGATTGAATGGACATGGGGATTAGCTGAATGAATGAGAAAGCTAATAAGCTAGGATCTAGGACATTGTTCTAACGTATTTTTATGTGTAGGTGAAAACCATCATATTCCCCCTCTTAGACGTGTGTATATGAATGTGCAAAAGACTCTCCCGCTGTGAGGGAGGAGTTGCTCTAGAAAGCTCTAGACAGAGCATGCAGTGGTGGCGTATGGTAGCAGGTGCACTCTTTCTCCAGCCTTTCTCACTGTCCTGCTTATGGCCAGGAAAAAGCCTCATTGGGTCTTATGGTTGATCAGTGTGGTTTTTGCACGTCCTGACCATTTCTCTACCAACAGGGAGGTTGTGCTGCAGCTCATGGCAGCAGGTGCCAGAGTGGCTAGGGAGCAAGTTCCAAATCCTACACCCAGTGGCTCTCCCGTTCAGGCTGGCCAGACCTGCATTTTTGCAGGTGAGGAACCAAAATGGGGCAGGATGCTGACTTGCCCGGGGCCACGCTGCAGGCAGAAGCCAAATGCACGCTTCTGGCTCCTCCTACTGCCAGCTAGACAGGACGTCTCAAGCTCAGCTTCCCAGCAGAATTAGCAGGAGACTTTTACAAATACTGATGCCTGGGCCCACTCCAACAGAGTTCGACGGAAACTGCTGTGCCATGGTGCCCGGACAACCTTGTGTGGATCCACACAGGCTCCATCAAAGCACTGCCTATCCAGGTCTTCACAGAACAGTTTGTGATCCCCCAGAAAGCAAGAGGATGGGAGCCAAAGAGGAGCTGCTCTGGAGCTGCCTCCCCCTCCCCT